ATGAATACAGCTTTTATTGATAACTTGATGGTAAAGTACAACTCTTTCTTTATGATTTAAAAAAGAAAAAAGTGACCATAATTCTTGAAAAAGTCTTTATAAATATGAGTTCATTCTGACATGATTCAGAAGCTACAGTCAGATTACAATCTGATCAAACATGTAAACACTTCAGTCCAAATAATGAAAGGGGAAGTTTAAGCAGTTTACCAAACTGATAAAAAAATACAAATAATGAAGGTTTTAAACTCGTAACTGAAAAGATAACCTCTCTGTCTGTTTCTGCAGGAGAACCCGGCTGTGATGCTGGAGAACCTGAGAACCATCAGAAGCAAACACTCAGAGCTCAGCACTCAGCTGAAGGAGATCTCTGCTGCTCAGAGCGAGTCCATGAAGAACATCAGATCAAGCCTGAACTCTGTGAGCGAGCTCATCCAGAACCTGCAACACAACCAGGACCTGAAGGTACACGACCACACCTGACGTACTACAAGAACACTGTACTAAAGTACTAAAGAACCACACAAGGCCAGCACAGCACTATACACACTGCAATATAACACCTCAGTACTTTAACACTACTGTAATACAGCACTACTCCACTGTGGCACTGAAGATCAACAGAACCATACAGCACCAGTACTGGAGGACTTCAGTACTTCCCTCCCCAGCGTGGTGTCGTGTTCATTGATATAATGAAGCTCACATTGTGGGTCTCCTCTCGTGTGGTTATAATCTGCTGCAGGTGGAGCCGCTGACAGAGGAGGAGAAGAAGGCAGTGGAACTGATTGGATCCTTTTTAACAGACACCAAATCACAGGTGAGACCCTTCAATGATGTCACACGTCTAATGTTCAGATTCTCACACACAATAGTTAGTTTACTTATGCAGGAGGATCCTGCAGGGTTTTGTCGTTAGTTAACATATCAGTGATCACTTCATCTCCTGTTATCATAAAACAAATCCTCTGAAATAAATAATAGATATACAGCTCTTGTTGTCATAAATGAAAACCCCTGAGAGTTTAATTAACACATTTACAGCTCGTGTCGTCAGCATTACTGCTGATGCTGCACCGACATGTTAGTCAATCTTAGGATCCATTATACCCTTAAAAAAGACCCTGAGATACTTAAACTCCTTCACTTGAGGCAGAGGCTTACTCCCCAACCCGAGGGAGCAATTCACCATCCCAACAGCTTCTCTTATGGCTGCAAACCATCTTACTCACCACCGGGTCCAATCTGGCCACCAGATGCTCGCTGTCAAGCTCCCGATGTTAGACATGTGGGACTGATGGGAATTTGTGTTTGTTAAAGAAGTCACAAGCCGCCTGCAGTCAGTAATTATGATCAGTGTTCACACTGTGAGAATAACGTTTGATGAATAACTTTAAAATGTTTTCTTTCAGATTTCTTCTTCTGCATCTGAACAGGAGCCACAATGTGAGTCTGATCCTTCTAAATCCTCCACGGTGATCTGAATGTGTTTGATAGACCAGCAGACATCAGAGAGATCAGCAGACAGACCATCAGACATCAGACTCTGAGCAGCAGACAGCTTTATTTCATGACAAACATTTCACTTTTTAAAGGTTTTAAACAGTTTTTTTAACCTGAATGTGTTTTACCTGACAGACGGCAGACCTCTAATATTAAGGGATTTAGGGACCATGGGAAGCAATGTATTTTGTGTTAAACCATTATTTTATGTTGAAAGGTAAAAACAGACTGTACGTGATATAAAAAGTTGCAACAGTAATTGCTACCCTCTTTAAAAACACAACGGAAATCCTTCTGTGAACAAAAAGTTTGCTGTCATTTACAAAACGAGTTAGGCTTCGACACTGCTGAATATGCAACATCAGACACTGTTCAGTGTGCGTGTGTGTGTGCTCCTGCAGCACATGGCAGCTTGTGTTCAGGGACTGAGGCTACAGGATGACGTTACCTACGTTAAGTTAACAAGTCTTTTCACACAGAAACAGCAGCTGAAACCTGCATGATAAATGCAAACATGGCAAGAGTGAGAAAAGTCAATACACAATGAAATATCAACACGTTACAACCAACTTGTGTAAAAATGTTTGTTTTTTTTAAACTGGATTGTATTCATATTTGTACGTCTGATCTCCACAGCGCCTACACACACTGCTTAAAAGAAGCCTTATTTTAACTGAGGGACCTCACAGGGATTTGGCTGCAGTACTTTTATTTCATCTATCTCCACATCACATGCAGCCTGAACCATGGGAATAGTAGGGAGTAGCTCATGGATCAGCCGTGATTCTTTTCACCATTATTTGTTATTAAATAAAGTGTTTTACTCAGCAGACAACATTTGAATCAGTAAATTTCGTAATCCAGCAGATGCAAATAAATCAGTTTAGTGTAGAAGATTATGTAAGTTTTTGAGCTGTTAAAGATGTTACATACGTTCAGGACAGTGAGTGTTCTGCGTCATGTGGTTAAAACACTGTTTATCACGTTATTATAATAATATTTCTGTTCTGTGTGCAGCAGCTCAATCGGTGTGCAGACGATGAAGATGAAGGCTCTGTTGTGCTAAACCTCTCCATGGTGTAGCTGAGTAAGGGGGCAGCTGAAATCTGCAGGGGGGGAGGGGGGGGTCAGTCCATGTGTTTGTTGATTCAGCAGTCATGCTATTATGTTTTCAGTCACTCCTTCACTTTCTCACTTTAGATCCACACACTTCGCAGAAACAAACAAATCAGTGTCTGACTCTCACCTGCATGCTCCTCCCCCTCCGTGATCTTCTACTCCTCTTCCTCACGCTCAGAAACATGTTCAGTGTTCTTGTTTCAATGTATTCATTTATAAATATAATTAAAGGTTTCAAGAGAAATGTTTGAAATACGAAATTACGAGAGCTTTTATTTTGAAAAGGTTCAAATGATCCACAGACTAAGATGTATGACAGATTAATAAAGTATTTAGAAAACGGTTGTTGTTTATGGTTGGGGTTGCATGCAGTCTGAAGGGGGCGACAGTGAGCAGTTTGTGTTTCTGTGATGATGAGAAGAGTAAAAGACAAAGCAGGATTTTCAGTTATTGAGGTCACTTCAGAGGGAACTCTGGGTATTCAGAAGGTGGTTGACGTCCTACCGGGTTAGATCCCCATGGTAAGCAGGTTAGGTGTTAGGATGAGAGATCAACTTGTATCAACCTCCGCCCACTGACCAATCAGATCTCTCGATCGTGGAGCTCTGTAAGCAGATCATGATAGGGAGGAGCGAGAGGGACCGACAAAACGCTTCCATCTGATTGGACATGAAATCTATGAATGAAAGTCACTCATTTTGCTTTACTTTTATCATCCTTTAACGGAGGCTGAAAAAGCTCAGGAGCCTTGGAGATGTGTTTATAACATTTAAAATATGAGGACTGGTTGCTTTGAATTATGTATTTTAATATAAATGTTTATTAACTCCATACCACTCTGTTAACGTTGGGGCTGCAGCTGAATTATAACGTTTAAAACAGTCCTAGATGCCACAAGAATACTGAGCAGTGAATACAATCAAGGGGAATAAACTTGAGCTTTTCTTTTTCTGCCATTTCCTCCTTCAATTTGTAAATGTGGCTGTTTTGATTTTAGTCTGTAGTAGCCTAAATGTTTAATTTCATATTGTTTGATTATCAGTTTGCTCAGAGTTTGTGAGTGAAGGCGATCTGCTGGCGGCAGACTTGTGCATGCAGACTTGTGCATGTGTACAGTTGGTCGTATGCTACTTGCACCGCCCCTTTCATGTGAAGCAGTCATAGACACTCTGGGTTGACTCATCGAGTTGATAACCAGCTTCGTGTGATCTCTGAAGCAAGCAAGACCAGGAAAAGTTAGCCTGGTTATGTTGAACTCGCCTCGTAGTACACGCCCCCAAAAGAGGGTTCATGATCTCCTCTCACCTTCACTTCTACAGGTGTGTAGTGTTCTGTAGACTGAGGTGTTTGTGATGTTGGAAATGTATGATAATCATGTTAAACATCTGTGATCAGTGTTCTTCTAAAGAGAGGTCAGGTCAGAGAAAAAAAAAAGAGCTTCTTTTGACTTTTGCTCTACTTTTAGTGAAACATTGTCAAACAGAACATTGTGTAATAAAACCTTTTTTCACAGTGTTTGTCCTCATTTCATGAAGACTTTCAGCTCAAACATTTGAAGGGTTGGAAACTAAACAGGACTTCAAATGATCTGTGTTGATTAGAATTTCAAACATTTTAAAAACGTTGACGTCAGGTTTTCTCCAACAAGGTGCAAACATTTACAACAAACAGAATATTAATGGAACTTTAACAAATTAAACATTTAGAGAACATTTAGTGTCCGTCCTGCCCCGACACGCCTCCTGTGTAAACAGAAACACAGAGAGGAAGAACATTTTAGATTAATATCCTCAGAATAAAAACTATTCTTTAAATAAGCACATGAATGTTCATGGGAAACCTCACATTATTAAAATGTTTATTAAATGTCAAATTGCGTTATATAGCGTTCATCAGATTTGTACCAACAGTAAAGCATTAAGTGTGTGTAAAATGTACAGAGCTGTTTAAAGTAGTCGTATGTTTACAACTTTTGGCATATAACCAGGTGGGGGACAAGGACAGTAGTCCAATTAAAAGGTTTAATTTAGCTATAAGCTTGAGCATGTGAAAGTACCAGATTTTTACCAGTTCAATAATCCGCTTCGATTCCCAAGCCCCTGCAGTTAAATTGAAGTGTCTGTTGGCAAGTCACTGATGGCCATATTACTCCAAGCAGGGTTTGAACATGTGTGAATAAAATAGTTCTTTGATGGGAACGTATTGTGGAGTGGAAGTGCTTTGATTAGTCAGAGGACCAAAAAAGCCATTTACCATTACTGCTGTTGACTGTGTCTCTGTCCTGCTGAGTGTTCTTCATGGTCACTAGTCTGTCCCTCAAACAGCGCACACCTGCACATTACACACACTCTGTTAGACTGGTCTGATACAAACACACACACACACACACTAGTATTAGTGTGATGTGCTCCCTCACAGGATTTTGCCGTCTCTTCGGGCTCCTGGACTCTCTCTTTCCTCCTCACATTCAAACTCCTGCAGGACGTCGTCCAGGGTAGAGTGAGCTCTGAAAAACAGAACAAACAGGAAGTGACATCACCGCCCCTAACCGACAGACTGCAGTAAGCCTTAATGGTGTAAAAGGACAACAGACAACAAGCTCAAACCTAGGGTCCGGCCAAAAGTACTAAAAAGTTCCCAGAAGATGGAGAATTTAGACAACTCTAATCATGGCTGAAGTTAAATACTTCCGAGTCAGTTCACTCAGTCAGGAACCTTCCTAACCAAAAAGGACTGCGACCAGACCCCTTGTTTGATTTCTGTTCCTGGGGCAGGAGCGTGTGGGCTGAGATGTGTGTAGCAGAGGTGTAGCTGCACTCACCTGGTGGTGTCTTCAAGTAGACTCTGCTGTGACTCCATCAGATGTTCCTTCTTCTTCTGTGACCCAGGCAGTAAGCCTGTTCCACCTGATGAACCAACAGTAATAATCATGATTATTCTTATTAGTAGAAGAAGAAAAAGAAGAATAGTGTTTACAAACACAGCCCGATTCACTACACCGTTCACTGGCTGAATCTGTTACCTGCTGTTTCTTGATCAAATAATCCTGATGTCACCTTCCTCCTGTCATCAGCCTCGTCCTCAGGCCCTTCCTCCTCCACTCCTGAACTCACCTCTGCAGAACACAGCCAAAGTTTAAAAAAATGATAACTGTGTTATTCATGTGCTTTCACACTTTCCCTTCACACATGATTCCTATGAGATCTCCTGATATCAAACCGTTCATCTGACATCTGTGTTGATAGTGTTCTAAAATCAAACTATAACAAAGATGTATATTTGAAATATAAAATATCACATTCAATATTCACCAATATTGTTTTTCAGATAAAGTTCATTTTGTAGGTAAATGATTCATGTTATAATAGACATGCTTTTTATGGTCAGCATTTATTTTTACAGTAGAATACATTTCATATTTTGAGCCTTGAGCTCCTCTCTCTCTCTCTCTCTCTCTCTCTCTCTCTCTCTCTCTCTCTCTCTCTCTCTCTCTCTCTGCATATACAGTACATCATATTACTGCATGTATCTATCTGTAAATCTCAGTCACTAACCACCTACTTTCCTGGGAGCTCTTGAGCTCTCTTAGTCTCCTCAAGATCGTTGGTTGACGGCCTGCCAGAACAACCCCCCCCCCCCCCCCCAACAGATTGTTGATGGACGGTTTGCCTCCCCCTGCCTCCCCCAACCTCCTTGCTCCCTATCCCTCTTCCTGCGTCTTATCCCATCTCTCCTCCTATCCCTTTCCAACCCCGGCGCAGTCTAGGCCTGTGAAGGCTGTTTCGTCATGAGATTTCTGCCTTTTAATAAGGCAGTTTTTTCTTACCACTGTAACTTTTGCTGCTTTGCTAAAGTGCTCATGATGGATAGGCCAGATCTTTGTAACATAGCAATAAGTAAGGTCTTTTACCTGCTTTTTGTGAAGTGTCTTGAGATAACACTTGTTATGAGTTGACGCTATACAAATAAAATTGAATTGAATTGAATTGAATATTTTTACACTCAGATCTGTGTGTCTGCTGCATGTTCTGTCTGTAACACATTAGTAACATGTCTGTCCATAACATGGATGTAGGGAGTGTATTTAGTGTATTGTTATGGATAACCATGTTAAAAGTGTTTGGGGGTCATCAGTCATCTCTTCAGCTGAGGATGGGGGGTTCGATCCCCAGCTCCTGTACGTGGCCACTTAATGGATCAGACCCCACCATCAGTGTGTGAATCTGCTGTGTTCTCACCTCTCTGTGGGTGACAGAGGCCGGCCTCATCTTCATCACTGCCCTTTTCAACCCACTCCTCTTCAACACGCTCATCTTCATCACTGCTGCCTGCAACCGACTCCTCTTCATCACTGCCCCCTACAACACGCTCATCTTCATCACTGTACTCTTCATCACGCTCTTTTTCACCAGTGTACTCATCAACACACTCCTCTCCATCACATCGTTCTACAACACAATGTTCTTCATCACTTCCTTCTTTAACACACTCCTCTTCATCACATCCTTCTTCAACACGCTCTTCTTCCTCACTCTGCTCTGCCATGTTTTCCTCTTCGTCCCTGCTTTCTTTTGCAGTCTGTGATGATTTCTCCTCTTCTTCATAAGCTTGCTCTTCATCCTCCAAATGTACCAGAGGTCGACTAAGGCTGGTTCCATCCTCTTCCCTCTGCTCTGCCTCAGCGACCCCTGCTCTCTCTCCCTCCTCCTCCTCCTCTTCCTCACTTCTGTACTCCTCTTCCTCAGTGCTGTGGGCGATGGAGGTGTGAGATGTGGTATCGCTCTGCAGGCAGGCAGTGATGAAGGTCTGGGAGCTGCAGGGAGAGTGCATACTGAAAGGCGGAGGCTGGAAACTGTTGAAGCCCTGAGAGTTCACAGGAGAGAGAGTCAGCTTTAAGAGCAGGAAATGTTCAAAAGATTTTCAAGAGAAGGAACATCAATTTAGAAATGATGAAAATTCAAACAAAGTCAAAATAAAACACTGATAGACATGTGGTACAATAAAAAAAATGCTGCAAATAAATAAATAATAATAATTTAACATGAACAGCAAACATAAAAGATACAAAGTGAGACACCCACATTCCCAGAAAATGCAAAAGAAAAACTCAGGAAACAGGAAAGCTCCAGATCCAGAGGCGCTGCTAGCTGTAATCCTATGTGTACACTTTATTACCAGTTACATTTCTTCAGTGTGGTTGATTCTTTTTCCCTTTCCCTCTATTCTCTTCTTGAGTTGCAGTCTTGGCTGTACCTCTTACTGACATCACAAATCATTTGACGGTAAATATTTGGTGTCACATAAATAGTCGGTGTAACAATCAAGGGTTATTACATCAAAACATGTCTGGAGCTGAACTGTGAAGTGATCTATGCTGAATTTTGTGTTGGGAAGAATTTCAGTAGCACATGAGATAACGCAAACAACGGAATATTTTTTAAGCTTTGGGAAATAAAAAGCAACTTTGAAGTTAAACTAGCATTGCTAATATGGCATTTGTGGTAAACAGAAGGCAGCAGCCATTCAGTTTATAGTGAAGTACAGAAGGAATCTATGGTCACAGATATCCCTGTCAGTTTCTGTTTTCCAAGCCCAAAAGACTCTGATATTTTCCCCAAACCGCAGCAAATATCCACGGTATGAGTTACCTCAGCCTCTCCAGATGACATCACCTGTGTTACGGCTGATGAGCTAAAAAGGCCATGTGACTCTGTCAGAGCTGTTGTGTTTTTCTTATTGCTGCTTTACAGTCACTCCTTGTTGTTACACTCTTTGTCTTTCTGTTGCTTTTGTTGTCTTGATAATTGCTTTTGAATTTTTCAGAATTTGTAGCCTGTCTCTTCAAAGGTAAATCTTTTGGGCTGTTTCACCGTCTACAGTATTTCTAATCTTCAAACCTGTGACGATGAGAATAACTGGTGCGCAGATTAGAGTAACTGTGATGAACGAAATGATGGAAACCTGTATTGAGTCTTCTCTTGCTGTGTTGAAACTCTTCAGGTTGGCAGAATGAAGGGCGCTGCATGCAGGGGATTGTGGGAGATCGGCTTCCATAATCTTTACGCGCCGATGAGTGTCTGTCAAAAGATAAAAATAAAATACCTTATGTGGAACTGAAATCTTAATAACAAACCCCTGAGTCGAGGGTTCACTGAAACTGATCTAACAGATAAATGTCTTCAGGAGAAACACTGATTGTTTTCATGTGAGCAAAATTTGTTTGCAAAAACGTGTTTTTAAATATAAATGCATGTGACGGACCAAACATGAAATAACTGCAGGTTGAGACTGAGTCAAAGTGACAATCGTTTCCACTGTTGAGAGCATGACTCTTTTAAACCCTAACTGTGAGGACACACAGTATCATCTGTTGGATAATTAACTACTATAAATAATCTTCTTCATCCTGATATTATGTTTTTAAAAAGTGAAAAAGCACACACAGAGCG